TAGCCATGCTTCACATATGCAAAACACGAGAGAAGACTTTACTGGCCCCGTGCCTTCCACTGATGAGTGGAGAAAGAAGTTACCAGTAAAAGAACACATTCCTTTTATTTTCTCAACATTCTTCACCTGTCTAATTAAAATGACTCATTAGCTGGTGATCATTATGAGACTGGTTATGCTCTTCATTTTTTGAAACTGCAGTGAGTGGGGGAATGACTGTAATGGCTGTAATTGTGTTCTTAGGATGCGCTAATATGTCCCCTTAGCCATGCTTCACATATGCAAAACACGAGAGAAGACTTTACTGGCCCCGTGCCTTCCACTGATGAGTGGAGAAAGAAGTTACCAGTAAAAGAACACATTCCTTTTATTTTCTCTAATGCTTCTGTTCCTTCTGGTATGCTTTTAAATAAAATATAGCTAATCTTTGAAGGAATAAAAGCATGTTGATTAGGTGAATTAATAAAAAATGTGTTAGTCTATAACAGTATACTAAAGATTTCAGAAGTGAGAGATCGCTGCCCAGGGACTGGGGAACCCAGGTGCCACATAAATAAATACCTTTTTGGTCTTCATTTTTTCCATCTGGAAAATAAAAACTGATATCTGTTATGATCTTAATCAAAAGATTATCTGGGTCAGGGTAGGAAACTTCCAAGTGCTCTTTGAGCTAATTCTTCTGAGTGGATAAACTGAAAGGGATGCAAGGGATGGTTTAGCAGGGAGCTCTCCATCCACCTCTGTTTCTCATTCCACATAAAATGGAAATGATGTTTATAAAAATACTTCTACACTAAACTGCTTATGAGACTATCAGAAATTATTATTTGTAGTCAATTAAATTGAGTATTTGCACACTCATTTTTTAGTTCCTTGGAGACACTTATGGCCAGAATATTGAAAATTATTTAGTTAATTTTCCATCATCAAGTACAGAATATAAATCTTCTGTAATCATCAGGGGGTCACCCTGTATCTAAAAACATTAAAGGAGGAGACCCTTTGGACACAGGAGCCACTGTCAGAGGAAATTTTACATGTAGAGGCCAAGCCCTTCCACTTCAGCTAAAGCCCCTATCTTCCTGTTACAATCTCCTTAAATAAAACGTTTTTTAAATTTATAACACTGGTAAAGTTACAGAAGGAAAACAATCATTTTTTTTCTTCTCTGGAATTAAATAATTATGGAGTTAACTGATTAACTCTGGAATTTAAAAATACATAACATAAAGTCAGCATCTGACACATACCCCAAACTGTACAGAAATCTGTTCATATTGGCTGATATTAAATATAAATGAAAAACGTTATATTAGATTTTATATACAGAACTTCATTCTTGTCTTGGTCACTTATTAGTTAAGAAATCTCAAATACATGATTTAGTCTCTCTGAATCCCACATCTGTCTTTCATAAACTATTTACAATACCTACAGAATAGGTCTGTGTTATGGCTTAAATAAGATACTATATATGATACATGGTAAACTGCTATCTAAATATCTATTATTGTTATTATAGTCAGGTGTGAAAATTGATATTGAGAGCGAGGAATCTCTCTCAACAATTAACCACAAAAATCAATGGTGGTTGAGATTTTCATGTAATTGATATTAAAATTATAGCATTTTCAATGAGCATTTTTATAAACCATGAATAGATTTAAATGAAATCATTATGAATACACTCATATTACACTAAAACATAATCATATGGCAGGAATATATGAATATAAGTGCTCAGAAACAAAACCATCAGTATGTGTATTCTAGTTAAGGCATGGTGAATATTGCACAAATAAACAATATTTCTCTAAGTAGAATTTGAGATTCACAACTTGGCAGGCATTGTTGAATCAAAGCCTTTCCAATTCTGATGAAAAGAAATGCAACAATTATTCATTTTATTTGCTTTAAAATAAAATAAACTCTTCAATTATGAACCTATCAAAATCATGATTGCAAATTGTGCCCTACCCTCAGGAGTTAATTTTAAAAGAAAAGTCATCAGTTTAGACTGCAAAGTCATATTTCTATTTATAATTTTTTGAATCTTTATGACTATTTTTGTGACTGTAATCATTGGAATAGTAACTTGCTTTAATTCCTGTTTGAGATATGACGGAGGCTAACCCCAAATAGTATGTTATACTGTTTTATTTAAACATTATTGTAATGTAGGATAATCGATTGTAGGAGGACATAAATATGTTGTTAAAGTTCTATGTGAGCATAAATATGCCAAACGATTTTGTGAAAGATGTGATCACATGGCAAAGAGATATGTATCTGTAATCCATTTGGGGAGTGGATGCATTGTGTCTCCACAACTAGAGAATCATGCCACACAAAAAAAGCACCATTTGGAAGAAACATTGAAACTAATTGTGAGAAATAAATTTGAAAGTTCTTCTGAAATTTTCAAGGGTAATTTTAAAGAAATGAGGAAAAATTGAAATCAGATGTAAAACAATCCAGTGTACCAGTAAACAATTTCTCATTTTCCCTGGCCATTTCTTTTCCAGAAATGTTTCTGCTACTTATAAAATTGTGACTTCAACAATTAAAACAGGATGGAAATTTTCATCATTGCCAGGCAACTCATAATTCTTCCTAGAAGTTCTCTCCACTTCCTTCTCTCTCTTTCTCTGTTTTTTGTGTGTGATTATTATTATTTGGAAAATGCTATAAATTTGTATTTTTTTTTACAGTCACTGTCCATCAGTGTAGTAAGATGCTGTTATAAATTTGTATTTTTATAATTAATTAGAAAGATGTTCTTCAATTAGTTGTAACAAGTATTTATTACAGTTATTGAGCACCAATCATTGATGAAGTACTTAAGTTTTCAATGTGTACAAAGACATAACATTAAGCCCCTAGGTAAGCAGAGGGTCTAATGGTAATTACTTGGATAGAGATGATGTCAATACGAGGTGATAACTGCTAGACTAAGGATTCTGTCAGGTGTTAACCTTTTCTTTCAATGTTTTTATCTTTGCTAAACTGATTCCAACTCCTTTATGCCACATTGTATTACAATCACTTATTTCTTTATGGAGATATCAGAGCTAGTTTTCTCAGTAAGATACTTCTGATACTTACGGCCCTTATATAATACTTAGAACACAAATGATATGCAATATAATAACAATAACAATACTTTCAATGTAGTCTACACGTATTTTTAAATCATTTGTAATGTGCATTCTTATAATTTTGGCAGTTTACACAACGTCTTGACTTTATGAGTAAGTTACTTAGCAAATTATGTACTTTCATTACCTCATATATTGTGTGTGGGGGTAATATATATATATATATATTTATATATATTTCCCTTTTGAAAGATTAAATATATAACAACATGTAGTATATACACTTTCTGTTTTAATAACTTTGGCAGATAAAAGAATTTAAAAACTGAATTTTTTGGAAAACTCATGAAATAAATATTAAAATATAAATACTAATTCACTTCAATTATTTGAAGCCTAAAGTTTGAAAATTTTGACAGAGGAAAATGGTTCCCATCCGGGAGTCTGGGAGAAGAGTAACACATTTGCTCAATGTTTCTAGATTCTGTGGTAACGAAGGACTCTTTACAAAGTTTTCTAGGGTCAAGTGTTAAATAAAACAAATGTAAAGCAATAAACACAGTTGGAGTTTTGTCTAGTCAGTGGCAGATCATGATAATTTCACCATTTAGTCCTGATCTAAAGGGAATGTTGTAAAATCAAGATATCTAATTTTCTTGTAAAACCTAACTCAAGAGAAGTCAGTTTTCACCTGTAAGAGTACCTGTTAAGCGCAATGCAGTTAAAAATACGTCTATATGAGTCTGATCTTGCCATCTGTCCTCATTCTCTCTGTAAAATTAAGCTAAGTAGTATCACTTTATGTTACTTTAAGATGTGTATTATAGTTTGCTTTTGTGTGTGTTTAATGTATGAATCCATTAAAACCGAATTTTGAAGACAGAACAAGCCTCAAGAACATGGGTAGCACATGCACAGCAATTTTTGCTCATGACTAAGACATCAGAGCGACCTGCAGATCTCCCTTAACACCAGTGCTCCCAAATATTAGTATGACACAGGTTTGTCTGGTTACCTTTTCCTGCTCAGGTTCAGAGATGAACATCTTGATTCTGCCACATTCATGTGTGCAGCCAGATGCCATTGAACGGCCAAAGTCCCTGTTTCCTTGTCTGTGTCCCGTCAATCATCTCCACTCCAGGGGGCTGTTGTGAGACTGACTCAAGTAATATGTACACAGCATTTAGGGGAGTGTCTGGTAAATAGTGTATGTTATCATTATTATAAGATCATCTTGGTTAGCGTGTTCTCTTATCAGTTTGTAGTTATTAGAGAAAGTCTATGGGGTATGAGGCATTTAGACTTACAAGGATCCTACTCCAGAACAAAGGCAGGCAAACTGTGGCCCATGGGTGCCCCTTGTTTTTGTAAAGCATGTCACATAGGAACGGTTTTACATGTTTATGCAGTTTGAAAAATAAAAATAAAAAAGAAGAGAACTTAATAACAGATAAACATTATATGAAATGCTAATTTTATATAATGTCTACAAATAAATATGTACCTAAAAAAAGGTTTATTGAAATGCAACCCTATTGGTTGGTTTTTTAATTGTTCGCATCTTCTTTCCCACTACAATAGCAAAGTGAGTTGTAGTCAGAGATATTATGGCTCAGAAAGCTGAAAATACTTACATCTGGTCCTTTTAGGAAAAGGTGGGTGAATTACCTGAGGCAATTCTTTAAGTTTCTATATAAAGTTCAAATTAAACTGAGTGATCCTCAGTGACCTTCTGACCTGGTGCTAAAAAGCAGTCTTCAGAACTATAAACTACATGATCTTTTCACACTACTTACTGAGCTCTGTGATCTTGGAGAAAGTACTAATTTCTCTGTCACTTTTTTTTTTTTTAAGATTTCTAAAACAACAAAACATTTATTTTGAGATTTGGGGATGGGAAAACTAAGCAACAGAAATTGAACCATTATCAGTATCTAATGGGAAATTGGAAGCAACACCATCTTCTGTAGCTCGATGCTTCTCCAGTTTAGCAATCAGTTCTTTTGCTGGATTGAAGACGCCATTGGTGTGCTGGTCACAGACATAGCAGCGCGGGGTGGAGCGGAAGTGCTGCAGTGCACAGCTCTCACAGAAATAATGCCTGCACTTGGTGACAACCGGGTTTTGGAAGGTCTGGCGACAGATGAAACACTTGAATGGTATTTCCTCCTCATCGCTTCCCACTTCATAGTTTCCGTCCTCACAGACACCATAGCGACCTTCATCAAGCTCACGTTCAATCTGCCACCCATGCTTGTAATCTGAACGATCATGGAGGAATTTGCAGCTGTCTCCAAAGCCACAAAAACCAGTCTCCTTGTAGTCTTTGCAAACGTCGGGCTGGTAATCCCAGCGCACGGTGGCACGCAGATGCTCGGGAGCTCGGATGGGGCCCTTCCTCACCATCCCGGAGGAAGCACCGCCCAGTGACGTACCGTTGGGCTTCATGTATTTCTGATAATTACTGAATCCCCGGTAGATCTTGTCATCTTCCTTGCCTCTCAGCCCCTCCCGGATCTTCTGGCTGCGCTCTGAGATGGCTTGTGCATCGCGCTGCCTCTCTGTGTCTAGCTCGTAGGCAGCAGTCGCCCCCATGTCCTCTGGCCCCACGGGTTTCTCCGAGCGGGTGGACTGGTAGACCACGCCGACACTCTCCCGGTGGTTCTCCTCCTCCTCCTCCTCGCCATTCAAGGCATTGCAAGGCGCCTGCTGTTTACCATCGCCACGGGTCTTCTGTATCAGCGGATTGTGGGCCGCGCGCTTCTTTTTCGGGCGGAACACAGTGCTGCCTTCGTCACCGCTGCTGCTGCAGTCGTCGGGCTCTTGGTTGCAGGGGCGCTTCCGGAGGCCTGCAGCCCCTTTTCGCCCACCAAACTTTCTGAAGAGAAAGGTGCACCCCTGACTTGCCGCCTTTACGGGAGAACGTTCCTCTGCCATTTTACAGTCCAGAGCTCCGAAACAGCTATGGTGGACTTGGTCGCGCGAGACCTGTTCACGTGACTGCACATCGTGCGTGACTGTGAATCGGCACAAAGTGGGCGGGGTCCTGGGCGGGCAGGACCAGCAGTGCGAGGGCGCCCAGAGCATCTCTCTTGGGTCGCTTCCTTTGAAGGCGCACGGGGTCCAGCCCCGCTTGCCGGCTGTCGCGGAGCTTACCGGAAAGGGGCCAGTGGGTCACCTTTAGGAAGCCTGGAGCCAAGTGTTTGGCCCGAGCAGCTGGGTAGCAATGTGGTTTGAGATTCTTCCTGGGATTGATCGGTATGATGGCCGCGTGCTTGGTCATCCCCAGAGTGGCCACTGCGCACATCCACAGGTTCAGTAACGGGGGCAAGGTAAGGCGGCTTCTGCAGTGCCAAGGCCGGCTTCTCGGGCTGGCGTTTACGAAATGGACCGTGGCTTGGGGAGGCCCTAAGGAACCGGTGTCTCTCTGAGATGGGGAGCCCCGAGGTTGGCCCTCCCCTTTCCTCCTGTTGACTAACAGTGGAGGCGTGCGGAATTTAACCCGGAGGAAACCACATCCGACTCTAGCAAGAAACAGCTCGCTGCTGGGTGAAGAAGAGTGGGCAAGAGGGCAAAGTAGAGATTCCGGGGCTGGCAAGGTAGGCAATTAGAAGACGTAGGTCCCAACTCCCAGGCAGAAGTGAGGCATCAGTCTTGGCTTTTAATTTCCTTTTTTGCTGGGTTTTAATTTCTCACATCCACATCTTGGGAGCCTCTCATCTCTTACTTCTTCCCTACCCTTTTTTTTTAAATTTTTCTTAAGGTATGATTGATATACATTCTTATGAAGGTTTCAAATGAAAAAACAATGTGGTTACTACATTTACTCATATTATCAAGTCCCCACCCACACCCCAGTGCAGTCACTGTCCATCAGTGCAGCAAGATGCCAGAGATCCACTACGTCCCTTCTCTGTGCTACACTGTTCTCCCCATGATCCCCCACACCATGTGTACTAAACATAATACCTCTCAGTCCCCTTCTCCTTCCCTCCCCACCCACCCTCCCGCACCCCTCCTCCCACACCCCTCCTCTTTGGTAACCACTAGTTCATTCTTGGAGTCTCTGAGTCTGCTGCCATTTTGTTCCTTCAGTTTTGCTTCATTGTTATACTCCACAAACGAGGGAAATCATTTGGCATTTGTCTTTCTCCGCCTGGCTCATTTCACTGAGCATGATGTCCTCCAGCTCCATCCATTTTGTTGCAAATGGGAGGATTTGTTTGTTTCTTATGGCTGAATAGTATTCCATTGTATATATGTACCACATCTTCTTTATCCATTTATCTACAGATGGGCACTTAGGTTGCTTCCATATCTTGGCTATTGTAAAAAGTGCTGCAATAAACATAGGGGTGCATATTTCTTTTTGAATCTGAGAAGTTGTATTCTTTGGGTATATTCCAAGGAGTGGGATTCCAGGGTCAAATGATATTTCTATTTTAGTTTTTCAAGAACCTCCATATTGCTTTCCACAATGGTTGAACTAGCTTACATTCCCACCAGCAGTGTAGGAGGGTTCCCCTTCCTCCGCATCCTCACGAGCATTGGTTGTTCTTAGTCTTTTTGATGCTGTCCATCCTTACTGGTGTAAGGTGATATCTCATTGTGGTTTTAATTTGCATTTCCCTGACGATTAGTGATGAGGAGCATCTTCTCATGTGTCTGTTGGCCATCTGAATTTCTTCTTTGGAGAATTGTCTCTTCATATCCTCTGCCCATTTGTTAATCGGGTTATTTGCTTTTTGGGTATTGAGGTGTGTAAGTTCTTTATATATTTTGGATGTTAACCCCTTGTCAGATATGTCATTTACAAATATATTCTCCCATACTGTAGGATGCCTTTTTGTTTTGTTGATGATGTCCTTCTCTGTACAAAAACTTTTTAGTTTGATGTAGTCCCATGAGTTCATTTTTGCTTTTGTTTCCCTTTCTTGAGGAGATGGGTTCAGGAAGAAGTTGCTCATGCTTATATTCAGGAGATGTTTGCCTATGTTGTCTTCTAAGAGTTTCATGGTTTCATGACTTACATTCAAGTCTTTAATCCATTTCGAGTTCACTTTTGTGTATAGGATTAAGCAATAATCCAGTTTCATTCTCTTTCATGTAGCTGTCCAGTTTTGCCAACACAAGCTGCTGAAGAGGCTGTCATTTCCTCATTGTATGTCCATGGCTCCTTTATCATATATTAATTGACCATATATGGTGCGGTTTATATCAGAGCTTTCTAGTCTGTTCCATTGTCTGTGGGTCTTGTGCCAGTACCAAATTGTCTTGATTACTGTGGCTTTGTAGTAGAGCTTGAAGTTGGGGAGCATAATTCCCCCTGCTTTATTCTTCCTTCTCATGATCACTTTGGGTATTCGAGGTCTTTTGTGGTTCCATATGAATTTTAGGTTGATTTTCTCTAGTTTGTTGAAGAATGCTGTTACTATTTTGATAGGAATTGTATTGAATCTATAGATTGCTTTAGGCAGGATGGCCATTTTGACAATATTAATTCTTCCTATCCATGAGCATGGGATGTATTTCCAATTATTGGTATCTTCTTTAATTTCTCTTAAGAGTGTCTTTTAGTTTTCAGCATATAAGTCTTTCACTTCATTGGTTAGGTTTATTCCTAGGTATTTTATTCTTTTTGATGCAGTTGTGAATGGAATTGTTTTCCTGATTTCTGTCTCTGCTAGTTCATTATTAGTGTATAGGAATGCCACAGATTTCTGTGTATTAATTTTGTATCCTGCAACTTTGCTTAATTCAGATATTAGATCTAGTAGTTTTGGAGTGGATTCTTTAGGGATTTTTATGTACAATATCAGGTCATCTGCAAACAGGGACAGTTTAACTTCTTCCTTGCCAATCTGGATGCCTTTATTTCTCCGTGTTGTCTGACTGCCGTGGCTAGGACCTCCAGTACTCTGTTGAATAGAAGTGGGGAGAGTAGGCATCCTTGACTTATTCCCAATCTTAAAGGAAAACCTTTCAGCTTCTCACTGTTAAGTATAATGTTGACTGTGGGTTTGTCACATATGGCCTTTTCTATGTTGAGGTACTTGCCCTCCATACCCATTTTATTGAGAGTTTTTATCATGAATGGATGTTGAATTTTGTCGAATGCTTTTTCAGCATCGATGGAGATGATCATGTGGTTTTTGTCCTTCTTTTTGTTGATGTGGTGGCTGATATTGATGGATTTTCGAATGTTGTACCATCCTTGCGTTCCTGGAATAAATCCTACTTGATCATGATGGATGACCTTTTTGATGTATTTTTGAATTCGATTTGCTAATATTTTGTTGAGTATTTTTGCATCTACGTTCATCAGGGATATTGGTCTGTAGTTTTCTTTTTTGGTGGGGTCTTTGCCTGGTTTAGGTATTAGAGTGATGCTAGCCTCATAGAATGAGTTTGGAAGTATTCCCTCTTCTATTTTTTGGAAAACTTTAAGGAGAATAGGTATTAGGTCTTCACTAAATGCTTTATAAAATTCAGCGGTGAAGCCATCTGGTCCAGGAGTTTTGTTCTTAGGTAGGTTTTTGATTACCAGTTCATTTTTGTTGCTGGTAATTATTCTGTTCAGATTTTCTGTTTCTTCCTTGGTCAGCCTTGGAAGGTTGTATTTTTCTAGAAAGTTGTCCATTTCTTCTAGGTTATCCAGTTTGTTAGCATATAATTTTTCATAGTATTCTCTAATATTTCTTTGTATTTCTATGGTGTCTGTAGTGATTTTTCCGTTCTCATTCTGATTCTGTTTATGTGTGTAGTCTCTCTCTTTTTCTTGATAAGTCTGGCTAAGGGTTTATCTATTTTGTTTATTTTCTCGAAGAACCAGCTCTTGCTTACATTGATTCTTTCTATTGTTTTATTCTTAATTTTATTTATTTCTGCTCTAATATTTTTATGTCCCTCTGTCTACTTACTTTGGACCTTATTTGTTGTTCTTTTTCTAGTTTCATTAATTATGAGTTTAGACTGCTTATATGGGATTGTTCTTCTTTCTTGAGGTAGGCCTGTATTGCAATATACTTTCCTCTTAGCACAGCTTTGGCTGCATCCCACAGATGTTGCGGTGTTGAATTATTGTTACCATTTGTCACCATATTTTGGTTGATCTCTGTTTTTATTTGGTCATTGATCCATTGGTTAGTTAGGAGCATGTTGTGAGCCTCCATATGTTTGTGGGATTTTTCATTTTCTTCCCTGAATTTATTTCTAGTTTCATACTTTTGTGATCTAAGAAACTGGTTGGTACAATTTCAATCTTTTTGAATTTACGGAGGCTCTTTTTGTGGCCTAATATATGATCTATTCTTGAAAATGTTCCATGTGCACTTGAGAAGAATGTGTATTCTGTTGCTTTTGGGTGTGGAGTTCTGTAGATGTTGTTAGGTCCATCTGTTCTAGTGTGTTGTTCAGTGCCTCTGTCTCCTTACTTATCTTCCGTCTGGTTGATCTGTCCTTTGGAATGAGTGGAATGTTGAAGTCTCCTAGAATGAATGCATTGCATTCTATTTCACCTTTTAATTCTGTTAGTATTTGTTTCACTTATGTGGGTGCTTCTGTGTGTGAGCATAGATATTTATAATCGTTATATCTTCTTGTTGGATTGATGCATTTATCATGATGTAATGTCCTTCTTTGTCTCTTGTTACTTTTTGTGTTTTGAAGTCTATTTTGTCTGATACAAGTACTGCAACTCCTGCTTTTTTCTCCTTTTTAGTTGCATGAAATATCTTTTTCCATCCCTTCACTTTTAGTCTGTGTATGTCTTTGGGTTTAAAGTGAGTCTCTTGCAGGCAGCATATAGATGAGTCTTGTTTCTTTATCCATTCGGTGACTCTGTCTTTTGATTGGTGCATTCAGTCCATTTACATTTAGGGTGATTATTGATAGATATGGACTTATTGCTATTGCAGGCTTTAGATTCGTGGTTACCA